GAGTAATGAGACAGCAAAGGATGTATAGTTTTTGCCTTGTAGTATTAGGTTTGTATTTGTTTCAGTTTGTGACCATGTGAATTTCTAATGGTGCCGCAATCTAAACTTTAGGATCAGATTTTTACGTCAATAAAGAGCTTATGTTGTCGTTTGGGTGGAGATGATGTATCAAAAAATTTTCATGTCAGTGCACGATTTGGGAAAAATTAAATAAGCGCCCCCTCTCAGTTAAGCGCCCCCTCTCGTTTAACTGCCCCCCTCGATTAAGCGCCCCCGTCTTCTCCTAAATTTGAAATAACCGCCCCGGGCACTTATGCGAGGATTTACGGTAACCAAAGGAAAGTCAAAGAAACAGGATAACCATGCATTTGAATATCTACTAAGGGCTATAAATAATCATGCAGGGTCAACTTCTTGACCAGCAGGGAGGGACAACTTTTTCTCATATAAAAACTCAATAAAGTTGCCTCGGGGCAAGGGTTGTCTTGGGAACCCGAGATGATATAAATAGGGCCTAAACCTTAGTGATATTCAGGCTAGCCGCAGCCCTATTGAGGACTAAATGCAGTCTGCAGTTTGCAAATGTCATATAGTGTGATTTTCCAAAGTTTTTGTTTTATGACATTCAATTGAAAACTGCTTTATCAGGGATTGGGAAGGCAAAACAGGCAAATGAGGCAATGGCCCATGGCATTGGAAAGTTATGGGCCATTTATAAAATGTTTGGGCCATTAGGGTAAATAAATGGGCCATAAAAAAAATTTGACAATTGATATGTAACTAAGTCAAATTATATAACCTTTCACTGAGGTTAAACTATGCATTCTGAACTGGAACTGATGAAACTTAACACACCGAGTAGTCTGGCGTCAACATCACTGAGACATGCTCAGTTTTAAATTTAGAGTGACAAGTAACGTTGCATTTACAATTTAAAACTTGAGCTATGCATGAACTGTACATAACACACCTGTAGCTCTTTAATAGTTAATGAAACGTTAACGAAACATTTTTTGTTCCTTAGAACTACAAGGCTTGGAAACTTCATCTTGATCGTTGTTTTCAGGATCACAATTCATTGTGGCAGACTTGGTGTTTGTAACAATCTCTGAGTTTTTTCTAATTTCGGAACTTTCGCTTTCAGAGGCATATTATTTGGCTCATTACAACATGCAAAACATATTGAAAGCAGCGGATTCTATCATTGAAAAACAGGAAGCACATGAATTGAGCAAGAACCTTGTTTGGAAGCAGAGTCCAAGTAAGGGGTCTGGGGATGAAAACAAAACAAACGCTTTTATAACGTGGATTGAAGAGCAAAGGCATCATTATTTTTCGCATATTTATTCATCATAATACTGAAAATTTCACAAAAAATGAAAATCCTGTCCACAAAATGGTGTATATTTTACTAGCTGTTTTGATGCTACCGCGCATTGCAGGCCCGGTAGGTGCTTTCAGAATGCGTCATTTTGTAGATTTATGCGCCATATGCGCATGGCACGGCCTTCCCAATCCCTGCTTTATCTGAAACTGCTCTTACTATACTTTAAAATGCATCTTTCAAGTTTAAGCTGAAGAGGGTATATACATGTATTTACATTATACTGTCCACTTCTTGATGTTGTCATGCCATCACATTTAATGTTACTCACACCTCAACATGTTTACTGTTGAAAGTTACATGTACTACTGGTATACAATTCCCCTTTTCATTGAAAGGGGAAATTATTATAACTTCTGAAGCCCTAAGGAAAAT